TGGGAGTTGAAGGGTTAACTAACATATCAGAAAATAGATTGCTTGGCTGATGCTAATAATGTGCCTTTTCCCTCAAATAAGCCATAATTGAGTAAGTTAAGTTTTGAATGAGTTCTATATCTCAGGAGTGTGAACTCTAGGAGCAGGTGAAAATTTAAAGATCTAAGCAAAATAGAGGATTATTTATATCACCAATAGGTTGAAATCTTGTTTCAGTAGCTTGCAAGGGCATAAAATGAATACAAAGCAAGTTTGGTTTAATATGATCAAGAAGGATGTTTTTTGTCGCATTACAAGTAGGGGACATAACAATCCTGATGGGAAATCAAATCTCAGACTTTCTGAATCAACCCCACAATCGGACACTGAGCCACAGAGACTCTCTCTTGACAAAGGCTGTTACAAGGTTCATGTGTCATGGTAGGTTGTTTGCTCTTTGTTACTGGATACAAAAGCCATCTTTGAGTCCACAAACTACACCATACTTTTCCACACATGTTTTCTGCTCTGTTCTGGAATTGTTCTTTTTCAGCCAATATGCTTGTCTCACACCTGGCTCATATCAACTTTACTGGATTCGTGAGACATCTCACCTTAAGTCTCTCTTCTGACTGTTTCTGTGAGAAAACAACAACAAGTAAGTCAATATGTATCATTTTAATGCAAAGTGGTCCTATATTTAAGCAATTTGCTCTTGAAGTATACAAACTAGCAAGAATGGATGGATGAGATATTCTGAGGAAGCAGATGTCCAAGGAAGTTGTAAATTGTGAAGGGGAAATGTAAACAGGAATGATTTCCATCCCCCTGACCATCTAATTAAAAGATAGAACAAACACTAACTCTGACAATGCTAAATTGCTCATGTGCTAAGGAAAGAAACCTTAGTGAAGTTTACAAAATAACCTACTGGTAACACTTATTAAGATTTCCAAACTACTTAAATTTCTATCAGAGATCAAAAAAATTGAATTATTTCCCCCAACATGTTTCCCCAACAAATTTATTCAAACAAATACTATCATGCCTATAAAGGACACCAGCCATAATAGAGAGAAGAAAATTTGTTATCCTCTTAGTCAGTAATTAGTGCATCATCAACCACAGCCTTGACCCATTCCACAAATACTGTACAGAACATCTTCAGCATGACTGGAAAAGAATCCAATTTGGTCGTTGAAAAAGTCATTTCTGTAGATGTACAGAAATTTTATTGCTACACAAGTGGTAAGTTGAAGGCAATTGTTACAACATACATGAAAACAACATAAAAATATTATTATCATAGTTATATTATCATCAAAAATAGTCTACCAATGAAAGTAATTTGCCTATTTGACATTGCATCTGGAATTTTTATTTATTTATTTTGCTAGTAGGCCTGCAATGCATTGGGAAACGTTACACTAAATGAAGAACATCTGACCTGTCAAACAAATAAACCATCAATTTTTTTCCTTCTGAAGAAATAAAAATATGAAGACATAACAATAATCACAGTGAATGCAAGTGAGGATTTCTAAACTATATCACATGTTCTGTTCATGGCTGCACATCAGTGAGAGAGTTTTTTTTTCTCATAAAAGGCAATCTAAGCCTGAAAACATAAAGTAAGAACTTATATCAAAATTTCAGTAAGCACTTTTGGTTTGCACTTAGAGAATTACTGTTATTATTGCTATTATTACATGTATTCTTGTCATTATTAAAAAAAATTAAACAATATATAGGCCTGCAATGCATTGGGAACAAAAAAATCTATCTCACGGCTTATTTGTGATTGTTAAGGGACACTGTAAGCACTCCGACATAGGTTTGCAGTGCATACTTGTGTTGCTTTTCATTCACAAAACGGATTTTCTCTATGTCAAATCACCAAGACCAACAAATGGATGAAACACAAAACCCCTCTGAGTTTTTAAGAGAAAAGAAATGTCTCTAAGTGTAATGAAGACCCCTATACATTTCACACTTTAACTCTCATGGCAATCATGACTGAATTTCTAATTGTAATATCAAAACAATATCAAGGAGACAAGTGATGAGAACAAAGAGAATCAACACCATCATCATCTTCATTATCACAAAGTAAGATCTCCATGTACACCTCAGCAGTCTTTTTAAGTAAAAAAAAAACAAAACAAAAACAAAAAAAGTGGAAGAATCATCACTATCATCATCACTGTTATTATCACAAAAGAGATGTTTTCTATGAAAAATTAGTGAGACCAAAGAATGGATATAACTGACAAAAAATCATACCTGAGTTTTTACAAGAAAGTGACAATGTGTAATGAAGACCCCAACAGATTTAACCTTTTAACTTTCAAGAGTGAAAATTTATCATTATAATAATATCAAAACTAAATCAAGGAGACAAGTGATGAGAATAAAGAAAAGTATTAATCAGGGGATTATTGGT